TCACAAACGGCCTCCTTGGCCATGGCTGGACAGTTAAAGAGTTCAGAATTGACCTCCTTGCTCAGTACAGGACAGACACAGAGTTCAGGACCGGTCTTCTTGGCCATGACGGGACAGTCACAGAATTCACAGATGGCCAGAGAGCACAGTGTCTATTTCCTAGACAGATGGCGCTGTGACTGGTAAACTAGAGAGAGTAGTGACCGGCGGGCTTTGGAGAGTTGAGACTGCGTCACTTGAGAGCGATGAGACTGCGTTGCTTGAGAGCGCTGTGGTCACCGGGATGGCAGCAGCTTGCGCCGACACCAGCGGTGGGTCTGCCACAATGGAAATCAGCCTCACTTGCCTGTACAATGCCGGAGTGTCTCCGATTGTGAATTTAACATAGACCAGGAACATCGGAGTGGCATCTGTGATGTCTGAAAAACGTGGTTTGACATCCATAATGGAACGGCGGCCATTTTGTGGAATGTCTTTGGCACTCCCACAGTGAAAGGAGAACCACATAGCAAAAGAGCATAGTACACAAAGTCTCTCAAAGTACAATTTAATTTCCCTTCAGGTAACCAAGATTTCATTGAGTCCAAAACGAAAAATGTCTTTCAAAGCAATATTGTCAAATGGCACTATATAGGACAACTGACAGAACTGGTGAACATGCTCCTCAATAGATAATGAAAATAGATAATGCTCCTCCACTTCTGTTTCAGGTTTTTATAAACTATTTCTTACTATGTGTCGTAAGATAAGTCTCCTTGCCGAAGATGTAGTAGCTGGTCAACTGGGTCAATGACTGGCCTGGGAACACTCAAAAAGCCTCTGGATCCGGGTGTGGAGTATTCTGTAACGTGGGAGGCATGACAACGGAGTTGAGAATCCATATGCAGGCTTTAATAGGTATGACCGTGGTCAAGACAGGCAGGGTAAATCACCAGCAAAACAGTAACATCCAAGGGTCAGAGAAAAGAGTAATCCACAAAACAGGCAATGGACAGGGCAGGCAGCAACCAATCCTAAACAAGGAAACAGTCCAGGGTCAGAAACACTAAGGCAAGGCAAGAAAACCAGGAACTAGGAAGTAGGAACTAGGAAGACACGGGGGAAAACATGGAAACTACTAGGGCTGCCCTCAACTAAGGATTTTTCTGTTGACTAGTAGTCAACAGAAATGCTGACTTAGTTTTAAGCATTAGTCAACTAATCGCACATTTATGAATAAACCATTTAAATCATTATAATGAGCCTTTAATTCCTACAAAGCCTAATAAGCGCTCAAGCACACACATAAAGCTTGCCATAGCGCACCGCATAAGCTATGATTATGAATGTGTCAGGGAAAAACAGTAAAGAGGCTGCATTAACATTTTAATAATTCACTGATAAACAAGTGCTTTCTTTGTTTTGGTTTAAGAGATGAACTCGGCGACACCGACTCATCATATATGCAGTAGTGATGCGCCTGTGTGCATGTTTCACACGGATTACATAATTTGAGAATATTTGGTTTCCATTTGAATTGGTTCATTTAAAAGTATACATTTCACTCTCTACAGATATATTTTAATGTCTGTAAGCGCTCAAGTTACCGAGACGGCAGAAAGCGCATCCTGTTTGCTTTCATTATTTTACAAAAGCGCGTTTCGTTGTTATTGTGAGTGCACACAAATAAACGTAGAGTCTTTACAGATTTGAAAGATATATTACTCTTATCTGTATGACCAAAAATTATGGAGTATTTTAAGAGCAAGTGAGTGCACTTCCCCCATTGTATTCTACAACAAAAACAATCGGAGCACCTTGTTATCACTAGTTTTATTTTGATTTGCCGAGTCCGCTACTAGCTTATAACCCGTTAGCATCGCTGGTTGCCACTAGTCTTGCTTACATTGCTTACACTCCATTCTTTTACTCACTGTTATTTGCTTTAAATGGCGGATTTGTGTCTACCTTTGAGTGCAGGTGAGCTGGAGGCCGTGGAAAAGCAGATTCGCGACCTGGTGGAGAAGCAGGCCCAGCTGCGAGAGCGGAGAGCTGGAAACATCCCAGGCTGACGCTCAC